CCTTTCTTGTAGGCGCAGCCCTGGCAGTAGTGGGACCCCGGCTGGTGCACAGAGCTTTTACAAATTCTGCAAGTGGAGAACTTATTCTTTCCATACGGATCGAATCTGGAGATGTTTGTTAAAGAAAGAAGAACGTACACTACTCGGCAATGCTTCAGCCCGGCCTAACTGCCCCACGGCCACACCGCGCTCAGCGCCCCTCTGGGCTGGCTACGTCCTCCGCCCGCACGCCTCGCTGCTTCTGGGCGCTCTGCACTCACACTGTCCGTTACGTTTATTCCCCAAGCTGCTCTCGCCCCTTATACCTGTCATGCTATTTGTGTGGTGTAAGTATTAGAGAAGCTGATGAAATCCGAATGCAAAGGAGCGACCGAGTCCACAGAGAGTGCTGCTTTGGGATGACGAGGGAAGTGGGAACCGCTGAAAATGCTTCTGGATTAGGTATGGTTAAGAGAGGCTGAAAACAGGAGGAAACCAAAGGACTCCGCGCTTAGCAAGGGCCAGGCTGTGCTCCACTCTAAAGATAACAAAACCTGGGCGTGGTGGCACATGCCTGTCACCCCAGCTCTCGGGAGGCTGAGGCAGGAAGATCCTTGCAAGTTCAAGACCAGCCTGGATTCCAAACTGAGCTTAAGGCCAGCCTGAACTGCACAGCAAGACACTGTTTTAAAAAGGCAGAAAACCCAAAACCAAACCAACAAAAAATCAAAGAAGCTGTTGTTGATGAATAAGGGAAGTGGGGAAAGAGAAGAACTAGTAGCTTCTAGCTTTGACTAACTGGACGGGCTGGCAGTGCCCTACTACCAAGAGACTGAAGGTTAGCCAGCAAATACAGTAAGTCAGGTAAACAGTACAGGTTAGAGATCAGAGAGGCGAGATCAGTGTGACAGCTCTGGAGGCTGTGCTTCCAATTTAAAGCCGACCGACTACAGATACTTTAGGAGAGTTTATAAGAAAAAGAAAAGTCTAGGATTGAGTCCTGAGGCAAGGGTTGAGAAGGAAGGCCAGAGCTGCGAGGAAACCTGACAGTGGGGGGTTTCGCAGAAGAACAAAGGCTTGCCAAGGAGATGCAGTAAGAGGTGAAAAAGGTTAGAATAAAGATGGGGCCACTGGTTTTAAAAGTCACTCGTGATGCTCACAAGCTCATTCTGGGCTGCAAGGAGGATCCGAGTGACTGAAGGCAAGGACGGAACTTAAGATAGTGAGAAAGTAGCTAAGGTTTCTGATAACTTCTGACAGTTAAAAGAACAAGGACACTGGTGGCCACAACAAAGTGAACTAACAAGGTGTAACAGAGCTTGCCTCTAGGAACTACCTAATTCGGTTTTATCACAATGGAGTGACATTCAACAAATTCTCTCTGGCAGCCTTAAATATTTAAAAAGGCCTGGAAATTGACTGCTATTCGGATGGACGTTCATACCCACCTTGCCTTTTTTGAAGTCAATGCTTTATTTTCATTCAGTTTTCTTCCACCACTTTCTGTATCAAAACATACATAATTTTAGTGAATTTCTTCTATTTAACACCCACTATCTAGCAATTAGTGAAAAGTTCATGCTTTGCCTACCAATAGATACCCTGTGTATCTAAATTTTTTAAATCTTCATTTAATAGCCACGTTTTTAATGTACTACTGAAAACATTTATTAGGGACATGAGGATCTTTACAAAACGCAATCATTTTATTTCTCAGATCAAATCAATACCTTAGGAATGGGGACGTATTTTCTCTACTATAACATCTAGAAGCCTTCACCTTGGTGTCATAGTCTTTGACTATAAGAACATAATTCTTTTCCTTCCTGTAGAAAACATCCTATACTCTATGTGTTTAATGTTAATGAAGGTGAGAACAGTTTTGAGTTGTTCAAAAACATAGAAGTCAGGTGAGGAGGGCCGGGGCTAGAGCTCCATGGCACAGTGCCTGCCTGGCAAGCACAAGCTTGTGCATTTCATTCCCGGTACCAAAAATAAAAAAATCAGGTGAGGAGGGGGATATTAAATTATTAAGCCCTAAGTCAAATATTAAAATACAGTCATCACTTGACAATCATTCATTAATTTTGTTATCTTCTGCCTACTGTATTGGGAACCCATGCACATACCTGAGAGAACCAAGCAGAAAATATTAAATCACTGGGGGGATCAAGTATTTTTTAGTATTTAATATATGAAGTACATTGAATATATAACTGCATTTTACAAAAACTGTAAAAACGAAAACAGTATTTTCACAAGTGTCTGATTCTATTTCTACTTACTAAAAGAAAAAAATACCTGTGGTATTTCTCGCACCATCTTTCCATGTGTCCGGCGTAATAACAGTACCAAGTTTCTTTTCACCTGTTATAACAAGACAGCAAACAGGGAGGTACCATTCATTAATAAATATACTATTTCATACATGAGACTCACTGCAATATTAGTCATACTGCAGTAGCGGCTTGTTAATGCTGAATTGACACTCCAGATATTAAATATGGCCCAATGGATAAAGAAGCTTCAGTACGATTTGGAGAATAAGATGCTTTACAGTAGGCTTGCCCTGTTACGACTTGAAACAAATTTGATAAAACTGTTCATTCCATAATCATTTACTAAGCATCTATAATATAAACCACTACATGAAGTCTTGAGAAAAATGAAACTTTACATCAGGAAAAGATTTTAGGGAGATTACACATAAGTTCATTAATTTCTCTAAAAAATAGTCCATAACTTGGGCTCCACAGGTGGATATTAGGAGACATTTGAAAGCAGGTGTACGTGATGGCGCACGCGCGCCTGCATGTGTTTATGCTTTTAGGTGAGTGGTATGGATGTGTTGAAGCTTCCAAGACAAATAGATTCAGAGGAATAAAGTTAAGACCCAACAAAAAGTGCTGATCCTCGTGATCAGGAGACCACTGATATTCTGGACGTGACAAACATAACCAGTCTTTAAAACAATTTATGGGGGCTAGGGAGATAGCTCAGTAGAATAGGCACTTGCCTGAGTTCAAGCGCAAGGGTCTGAGTTCAATCCCTGGTTCCGGGATTAAAAAAAAAATATGATACAAGGAAAGGCAGAACCAACGTAGTGGCCTCAGACTGCAGCTTTATACCTGAATAACACCTTGGCTTATTTATAGGAGCAGTGTAATGAGACAACAGGCTGGAGATGAAAAATAATTAAAGGTCAGATTTCCAGAAGAGCAGAGAAATAAAAAGTAGAAGAGGCTATGACCATAAAGGATACCATCATTTTCCAGAAACAAATATATGTATTTTAATACCATACTGAGTTTTAGATACTCAAAAATTTATGTATCTTGGGACTTCCCTCACTTTCCCCTGGAACAAAGTAATAATATAAAAAGAACTGCAATTATATATAAAAAGAATTACAAACATAAAATGAAACCAGGCAGAATTCTAGCCTTCTACAGTTAAAATGTACAGACTTGTTAAAAAAAAAAAAAGACCCTTATAGATTTACATGTATAACCTAAAAGGCATCAGGGAAGGGGTATAATCTAAAGATATTTACACTACATTCAAAGAAACACACAAAACCCAAAATAACTGTTTACGAATAAAGTTAAGGGATGTCAACGACAAGAAACATAATGTGTCTTCTGAGTGAGGAAAATGTTCTAAAACGGACTGTGGTCATGGCTGCATGACACCTGTACATTTTTCAAAAACCATGGAACAATTTTGAATGAACTGTACCGTGTACGAATCGAGTGAATTGTATGGTGTATGAATTAAGCTCACGAGTTTCTTAACGTTTAAAAATGTAAGACAACTATGGTATACGGCATATAATCTATAAAGAGGGAGATAGTAGTTGAACTCTTCTCCACCCAGAATGGAGCAGAGTTTAAGATAAAGGTCACATATTGGAGAGGTTATGACAGAATCAGTTTTTGAAGATACACTGAGGCACTTTTATACTAGACATTATCTATACTAAATTCATTTAAATTTCACAGAACCCCATGAATTATGTGTTATTCTAATTTTTCAGGTGACAAAATAGGGGCCAAGAAATACTAAGTAGCTTGTACATACACTTTTTTTTTTTTTTTACCTAACATAAGAATTTTGATTAAATTCATGGGTGTCTGTGTTCCAAGTCTTATCTGCAGAAGACTTATAAGCAAAGTGCATGAGGGCTGGGGAGACTGCTCAGAGGCATAAGCGCCTGCTTGGCAAGCACAAGGTCCTGGGTTCCATCCCTGGTACCAAAAGCAAAGCAAAGCAAAGCAAACCAAACCAAAACCAAACCAACAAAATGCATCACGTTCACTAGACAATAGTATTAGTCAGACATGTCTAGCCGGAGGGAAAAGGACTAGAAGATAGCACCCGGGAGGTTGGGCCAGGATGATCTCTGGGAGTTCGAGACCAGCCTGGGGGGCCACAAAAATGAGCACAAGGCCAGCTCGAACTGCATAGTGAGACCCTGTCTTAAAAACAAACAAACAAACAAACAAACAAAAAACCCAACCACAACAACTTTCTAGAAATCTCAGGAGTTTTCATTAGACTTACTGGGTGCTAATCTGATGGAGGAAAGACTGTTCTAGAAATCAGGAACGCCTAAAGGGGCTTTTGAAGATGGGGAGACTTTACTACACGCCTATCCCAGTGTTATAGGCATTCATGCCGAGTTTACAAGCCATTAGATGCGACGGTGACAGCGCTGCCAGATAAAACACAGGATGCCCTTCTAAATTTAAACTTCGGAAGCCAAGATTTTTAAATCAAGTAGCATTAAACATTTCATGGGACGAAGCATTTAGAAGTAGTAAGGAAGAGCAAACAAAGCCAAGTCTCAAATACTGCATGGGACACACATGGGTGTTGAAAAATGATCCGTTGTTCGCTTGAAATTAAAATTTAACTGGGCGTCCGGATTTTTTAAATCAATTTTGTATCTGGCAACTCTCTAGGTGGTAACAAAATGATTTCAAGAATTCACTTAAGCCTGAGGGAGCCAGCTGAGAGGCTCCTAGAGGTAAGATCTGGAGCTTGGAAGAGGCCACGGACACGGGCCACGAGGGAAAGAACTGAGACCATTCCGAAGACAAAACCCTGGGGCTACGCGGCCACCCGGGAGCGGAAGAACGATCGCAGGCAAGCAAAGGCGCGAGGCAGAGCCCCGAGGGACAGCCAGGAGGGCCAAGTCCCCAGCGCGATCTGGGTAAGCGCTCCCAGCCTCCGCCCACACGAACGACCGCTTAAACTCACATTTTTCGCACACCATCCTCGCGCCCACTAGCCCCTCAGCCGCAGAAGGTCCGGCAGCTCGAAAACATCAACACTAGGCGCACAGGGCTCCCCTTCCGGCTACGTCAGCCCACTTCCGGTCTCTGATCTGTTCCCGCCTATCTTACACCTAAAAGCCGCCGGAGGAAAGAACGCGGGCGGGCGGGCGGGGCCGCCCTATGGACCCGCCCTCTCCCTTCTGTGATTGGCTGTAAGGCGGTGAGTCCCCGCCCCCAGGGCCTGCGCCTGCGCGAAGGCCAAGGCAGCCCGTCGCACCTGATGGTGGGAGGCTGTGGCTCCTCCTTGCCTTCCGCGGGCGGGAGTTAGGTAAGCCCCGCTGGAAGCCCCTAGCGCGCCGGGCTCGCCTGGGTCGTGCGCACCAGCCCGCCGACTGCCGGAGGCACCGCGAGCCTCCGCGCTCCGGTTGGGGCGGCCGCTGGCGCGCTGCTCCTCGGGCGTGACCCCGGGGCTGCCCTGGAGGAGCCTCCCCGGAGCCTGAGCTCCGCTCGCCGGCTCCCGGCTCCCCTTGTCCCCAAAACGTGTGCTCTTGGCCGCTGGTTCCTCTGGGCCTGCCAGCTGAGCCTGGGGCTGGGGTGGGGACCCCTCGGGCGGTGCTGCTCCGAGGACCGGCGCGCGCTTCGCCCGCTCGTGCAGCGAGCCTTCGCGTTTGG